CCAGTGTGCCCTTTACACACATATTATAAGACTTATGTGAGAGGATAAACTAACACACCTGTGCTCCACCTGTGTGTCTGCTGTATGAAACTATGGTTGATTATCAAACTGTATTCTCAGTGAGTTTAAAGGACTGGTACAGTACACGGTTTAATGAAGGTGAACATAATCTCAGTTAATATAGTTTGAGTATTACTGCATCACAACAGAAACATTTGGTGTTCAGTTATCAACGAGTGCAGACAGTTAAACTGAGCACACACTGAAGACATGAACAACAGAAAAACCTGGTCACACAACTGTGGGTGCTTCAGACCCCATCCCCCACGGTGCATCCCCACCAACTTTCAGCACAAAGTTACGCCCTTGAATTGGGGGTGTGGGGGGTACTGTTTGGTGGGCCTGATGGATAGAGCTTCATCAGAGCTAAACAACCAAAGAAATCTGAAGCTTCTAAATTGAACAGTTTCTGAGTTATAAGCACTTTTGCATGTACAGACACCCCCTCTTTGAAAGGAGCCCCCTCCTCAAATTTGGGGTCTATCGTAAAACTGTTGGCTGGCACAGTGTAGGTCAGACTCATCTACAGTCCTGCCAAATTTCATGTTGACAGTCCTGCCAAATTTCATGTTGATCGGTGCAGCTGTTTTTGTGGTACGGTTGACCAAAAATCWCCAGTGAAAAAAATAAAAAATAAACAGTACGAAAACAATATGACTCCCGCTTATGCGCGCGGGGGTCATAATAATGTAAAACATGTGGAAGAGAAAAATGATCATAATTATTTAAATGCTTGATAAACAAAACTAAACACAGCATGTGTTTTAATATTTTGTCCACATTTTATCCTTGATGAACATGAAGTTATTGTTTCTTCATCTAATTAGTTTGCAGCTGCGTTCCCCTGCTTCCGCGGGCTTGGACCCCTAGGCATTGAGGTCTGCATATTTTACCTTTTTCCCTGCTCCAACACGGCTGATTCAGTGAATTACCTCTTCAAGTTCTGCWGAAGCCTGATTATCACCTATTCATTCAAATCCGGTGTGTTGGAGCAGAGAAACAAGTAAAACATGCAGGGCTGYGGCCCTCAATACCCACCCCTGTTCTATACATTTCCTTAAATTTGACTAAATCTGAATGAAGTTTTGAATGAAAAAGAAATGACTACAGATATGTTTGCTCTGTTTTTTTTTTGTTTTGTTTTTTTTTTTTGTGCGAATTTATCCAAATCTTGTCCAATCTGTCCGTCTATTCATTTTCAGTCTCCAGCAGTGACTGTGTGAGGGACAGGGGACACCCTGGACAGGTGTCCATCCCAGTCAAATAAGACAAACAACCACTCAGAGTTACCAATGAACCTGGCATGTAGGTTTTTGGTCTGTGGGAGAAAACCAGCGTACCTAAAGAAAACCCACAAATGTACAGGTAGCACATACGAACATCACGCCAAGCAGGAGGCAAACATGTAACCTTGCAAAGTCTCTAGACTTTGATAACTACCTTAAATTTGATGAAAGGTGAATGGAGTTTTGATTAAGAAAATGTTCACACATTTTATTAAGGTTTTTTTGTGTCAAACCATCCAAAAAGATGAAAAACAACAAGTTATTGTCTCTTCCCGTTACGATTTTATTTTTTAGAAGCCCTCTAATTCTAATGAAATGTGCTACTACACACAYTATTTTCTAATTATGTCTTAAACAGTTTATCCCGGGTGTCCTCTTAATGAAGAGAAACAGACACAAGTTCATTAAATGAGCAACATCAGAGATTAAACCTGCAACAGAAAGATGCTTAAAAATCTCCAGATAGACAGAAAGTCCTGTACTTCAGGTCCAAAGATAGCAAACAAAACGCACCATAAAAAGGAAGTGATTTAGTCCAACCTGTTGAGATAATGAGATRAACTGATATGAACGCGTGCTAACGACTTACCTTCTTAATGTCAGAAACTACGAACCAGAATCCAAAACCAGCAGTGGAAGTGAGGCCTGTCAGGAGAAAGTGAGAGGATGAGTGGTTCAGGTGGCTCCAGGTAACAGATCAACACCTGGCTTCTTCATGGAGTCACAGAGAGGTGAGGCTCTTTACAGAACCACAGAGCAAGGTCCAAGGGCAGCTGATAAAAAAAAGTTCTTCATGTGCTCGACTTGACATCCTGATCCAGAAATATCCCTCTGCTCATCATGATGATAATCATTTAAAACATAATGAAGGGATCAGATTTTATAAATGACTCACCTGGTTTACATGATGTCCAGCTGTGCACCACTGACTGGCAGATGCTCTATTTTCAACCTAAAATGACATTTAAATTGAGCTGCACATGGATTAAAAAAAACATGACACTACAAGTTAATAAATGATCAAGTTGAGCTTTTCCTGTKTGACTCATTAAAAATAGCATCTGTTAGAATGAAACCCACCTGGTCTAGAAGCTCTCAGGTGAAGTGAATCACACAAACAGTTTTAATGTTCGCTCATAAGCGGTGGGAGAAAAAAAATCCGATTTTTCTTCAGTTTTCAGCGGCAGCTGGACGCATCTGTGCTCCTCCTCTGTGTCTGTCTCCTCCTGCTGGCTGTTTTCACAGGAGCRCATGTTGTAGACTTTTATACATTTCTGCTTTATGACGAGTCACTCACCGAGGAGGTGGAGGAAAAATATATCTCCGACATATCAAAGCGACAGGCGCTGTCATATTATAAAATAAAAGATCAAATAAAGCCCTGAAGGCTCTTATCATTATTAGTGAGTGTAACATCCTGTACTTTTAAAAGGTACATTAAAATCGTTAGTTAGGGGTAAATGTTTTTATAGTCAAATACACAGGCCACTAAAATCCTTAAGTCGTAATTTTGCCATTGCTAATGCTAATTGATGAGCCGTGTGCCAAATTCTAGTTTTGTTTAACTTATAACTAATAATAATTTTAAAAACAGTTTTAATGTAAAGCTTGTGTGATTATAAAATAAAACTTTAAGGATGTCACATTTCCTTGACTTTTTCTTGTTCTTTAAAACAGTTTTATTCATAGACTTGAATAAGAACCCTGTTAAATACACCTCATGGTTTTATTGTGAAAGGGCGCCCTCTTGTGGCGTCAAAATAAAACGACAACAACATGAGACCTGGTTTAGGGTGTTTTGTAAATCATTTAAAAATAAAAACTCCACACAGCTTTTTAATGAATTGATTTGATTGGACTGACAAATTTTAATACAATTCGTATGTCCAGACTGAATATGTTTGACTAATTATGTTCATTTTTTAAAGTCTTACCGTTTTTTGTTTGTTTATATGTTTGTTTATTCTTTTTTCATTAATTTTGATGTGTGTGTGTGTGTGTGTGGGGGGGGGGGGGGGAGTTACTAGTCTCTAATACATACACATCTAGTGGTTAATAAATCTAAAGACCATTGTATTCTACATAATTACATAAAAGATAGGAACAAGTTTTCAATTTTTTTTCATATTTTTTGTCATCTTATACTCTTGTGTCATTAGTTGTCATCTTGTGTTAGTTATTATTTACTTCAATAAAGTTTAATACATTTATTAAGATGTAGATGTATGTGATGTTCGTGTAAAATATAAAAGTATTAGGATGTGGATGTAGTATTTATTTCAAACATTTACTGGTTAAAGTTGAATCATGGGTGAATAGCGCCCTCTTGTGGCTTTAAAACAAAAACAACAAAAATGAACTTTCAGCAAATGTCACCTGTAATTAATTTTATTAACTATTTCTTTACTATGTTATTGTGATTTTTAATACGTTATAATTA